CGGATTCGGAAAGGCTTCAAATTTCTGATGCACCTCGAAAGCAAAACGAATCAGTTTGAAACATTTTTTAAGTCGTTAGCATGCTTTATTACATAATTTAGAGTATAAGAAAGTTGCAAAGTTTCACTAATGCTATAAAAGTTAAGAACACGTATCGATAAATCACAAAACAGTTTGGCAACAAAACCAACTGTAAATTTAGTGGGCTGTACAGGAGAGTATGGCCAGCTAAACTGACCAATCGCAGCATGCATACTAACTGAGAGATATAGTAAGTTGCAGTACTTAGCTTCCGTCTCAGTGGCCATACTGCCCTAGAAGTTCTGAAATCTTGCACAAGACATTTCTGATACACTACTGCTTAAAGGTAAGCCTTTTTGCAAGATGCATCGGTTTCTCCCAAGATGACTCTCACGAGAAACAAGACCTGTCATGATTCTTGAGACTGCACTGGGAGTACTGATGCTTAAGGCTGTCAAATCCCTTCAGAAATCTTAAGTTACAGCATCAGAGCTGATAACAACCTGTATGGTTTGTTAAATCCAGTCTTTTAACATTTAACCTTTTTTTCAGGAAGATCTGATAACATTTATAGATGCAAGAACTTACAAGGCAAGGTGTGATGAACAATTTAAATTTGAGGTGAGTGGGTTGTTTTATTTAATTACACATGATGGGGAATGATTCCTTCCTTTTAAAAATATGGTTCTGTGACTATTTTAATTTCTGAAGTAGAACCATCAAATGTCATATCATGTTCACTAAAAACAGTTGTCAGTCTTTTCATTTCTTTTGGCACTGCATGTATATGAGGAATACATGGATGGGGTGGAGCCGGGAACACTCATCTAGATCAGCTTTTATGTGTGTGTTTCCCCAATGCGTCTTTCGTGCTCTTGTCATTTCCTTTCAGACCACTTGTGTGCAGGACAAAGCAAAGTCTAACCTGTGTGGATAAATTAATTAAACCAATTATAAAGAACAAAAACAACATCAACAAGTGGAACCTTTCTCAAAGTGCTGGGAGTGGTTGCTTATTGGGGGACTGGTGTTTTTGATGATACCAAAGCAGGAAACCAACATTTTCAGTTGAAGTACAAGGAAGTTTAATTTGAAGTTGATATATCTATTCAGTGTTAGCTCAGATTACAGCAAATAAAGAAGTCAATTTCCCCCTCCCCTTTCTTTTGTATTTCTTACCAGTTGTTGGGATGGGGTTCTGAGAGAAATACTGTAGTGTGCAGCTTTTAATTTTCCTGTCTAACCCACCATCACCCCATTCACTATAAGATGTAAGAACATGTTTAAGAACATGTATTATGAGGTACTTGCACAAGTACATACATGTACAGTCAAACCTCGATTATCCAGACTCGTTGGGACTAGACAAAATAGTCCGGATAATCAAAAATATGAATATCAATGAAAAACTGTTTAAATAAAGCAACATTTAATCAAGAAACAACACTTTTACAAATCGTTTGGGAAACAATATGGGCTACTGTACATCTTGAACCACTCAACTCTGAGCAAATCAGAACTCATTTGAGTGTTCTTCATTAGTTACGACGTGCGCGTGCGCTGCTTTTACTCTGTAAAAGCAAAACAAAGTTGCTTTTGACTGCACTTTTCAATGCAGCTATAGTTTTAAAAAGAATATTTCTATGGATCTTGAATGTGACTAATAAAAATTCATGACAAAATTGGGACTAGAGTAAAAGTTCAGATAATCGAGAAAATCTGGATAATCGAGGTACGGATAATCGAGGTTCAACTGTCTGTAAACAGCTTTGCAACATCATTTTGTCTTTATTTGCATGTATGCATATATATACATGTACATATGTACATATGTAAGTAAATGTGATAAAGGTTGTTCCCAGTGTTAGATAGATTTTGTAAAGGTCCAAGCTTTCCAATAATTCATGTCATTTTGCACTAAAAGAAAAAGTGATCTTGTGGCTAGTCTAAGTCACTGCTGTGTGAAGCATGAAGCTTAGCTCACTGAAGGAGCAAATATGAAAGGCAATTGTTATGTTTTTGGTGATGTTAGTGTGAAAATTCTATGTTTCTTCTACATAGGTTAATGAAATTTCCTGGAACAACACAAATGATTTATTTTTCCTTACAAATGGTCATGGATGTATTAACATATTAAGGTAAAATTAAATTCACACTGGGAGCTTAAGGTAATTCCCCTGAAATAAAACTGCTCATAGATTTTTGTTCAAATTTTGTCCAATGAATGTTTATCATATGAGAACTTTAATTATAAAATAAAAAGGGGGGTGCCCATGTTTGTTAAGGAGCAGTGAGGCATTGAAAATGTCCCATTTTAGTGTTATTTAATAGTAATCAGATCAGTCTTTTCTCATGCAAAGCTAATGATTAGTTGATTAAAATGACTGGAAGAAAAATTTGGGGTGCCTGAGTTCGTTAGTGAGCTATAGCCATTTTTCAATTGACAGAACTTAATATCAAGGCAAATCTGCCATGTTTTCAATGTGCGCGTGCGCGAACGTGCGCTAATGACGCCATAAATTATTTGCAGTAAGGATGCGCAATGCAATGGTGGGGAATGACCTTAAATGGTGCGCTGCAGGCTTTTAGCCAGAATTTAAAAAGTGGCCGTCCAAAATGTGCTGTAGGGCCTGCTCAAATGAGCAATTGTTAAGGCAGCATATGAAAAATAAAATAATTTTCTTTAGAAAGGAGCCATCCACATGATGCATGGACCCCATCTGGCTAAATGCCTGGGTGGAGAAGTCTGGGTCCTAGCCCTGGCTGGGGACATTGGGTTGTGTTCTTTGAGCAAGACACTTTACTCTCACGGTGCCTCTCTCCACCCAGGTGTACGAATGGGTACCAGGGAATATAATGCTGGGGGATAACCCTGCAATGGACTACTTCCATCCAGGGGGGAGTAGAAATACTCCTAGTTAGCTAGTGTTACAGAACCGGGGATAAGCTCTGGTAGTATAGACCCCATGGCCAGATGTAGATTTACCATAACTCAACAAGGTATTGTGATATGCTGCAGGGTTTTTGGTATATGCCAGTAATATTATTTATTTTTTTAATTAAGTTACCCAGATTTGAAACCACAACAGACATTACATGCTCATCCTGCTAACTGTATCTGTATAAAGTTTGATCCCAAGGGAAGGTGAGTAAACTTCTACATCTTCATGTAGAGTAAGCTGTTAGTCACATGATCAGACCAAATAATGTGCTCAAGATTGTAAAAAATGCCTTTTGTTAGTACATTTTGAGACTCCTATTACTTCACCATAGAGTTACATTGCAGGTACAATATTTATTTATTTCTCCCCTCCAGTTGTCAGCTGGCCCATTTAGCCAAGCATCTTTGGCAGTTTTTCATGACTTTTCAGTGATTAGAAGTACCATTTTACAGTGGCACACACAACATTTCCACTTGCTTAAGTTCTCTTTTTGTTTCACCATTTTTTAACATTTTTTAGTCATGGGCTAACTTAGACAAAACTTCAAGAGTACTTTGTAAGGTGGGCGTGGTTGTTAAGGTAACGATCCATTCAACCTCCAACCCAGAGTTTCATTGATTAATTAAATCGAAAGGAACCAATCAAAGGCAGTTTCCAAACTGAAAGATGTCAAAAGTTAGGATATAAAGCTAACACTGTCAGTGATACTTTCCTACAGTTTGGTATTCATACTTTCGACAATTCTAGCAGAAGCGCACTTTACGTGAATGGAAACAAAGCATTTTTTTGCATTTGTGTGTGTGACCATTAACGGTTCACTACATGTCATTGTGCTTGACTGCTCGTTTTTATCTTGATCAGATACTTTGCAACTGGAAGTGCAGACGCTTTGGTGAGCCTGTGGGATCTGGATGAGCTGGTGTGTGTGCGAACATTCTCAAGATTAGAGTGAGTGACATTAAATAGAGATAGATACATGTTAAGATGAGTGGGATTTACATCGGAGAACCTAGACTACGGGTAGACCCTCTTTCGCTTAGTCCGTCGTGAGTGACACGAAAGAAAACCGCGAGAAAAAAATGGCTGCGTGAAATCTTGGGGGTGATAAGGGCTTCTACTCCCAAGGATTTCGCGCCGCCATTTTTTTTTCCTGCGGTTCCCTTTCGCGTCACTCACGACGGACTAAGCGAAAGAGGGACTACTCGTAGTTCTAGTACTTGTAGTACTCGAAGAACTCTTCGTCCCAGTCCCAAATTTCTAGCAAGAAACATAAAATGGACATGGAAGGAAACATATCAGTTCTCTTTCACAAGGCTTTACAAAGAATGTCTACAATAGTATATCAGAATGGAGCCTCTAAGAATTGTGCACTGAGAAATCTTTAATGGCTTTTACTGATGAAATTCTTGATTATGTTTCCTGATTCTCAGCTGGCCCGTTAGAACACTGAGTTTCAGTCACGATGGAGAGATGCTGGCGTCTGGCTCTGAGGATCTTATCATTGACATAGTATGTGATAAATATTGCACTGCTATAAAACAACAACAACAACAACAACAACATCAATAACAACAAGAACAGCTTTCATATCAACAATAACAATTTAATAATAAGGACAACAATAGAACAACAACAGCAAAAGAACAGCAATAAAAAACGTTACAAGCACGTATCAATACAATAGCAACAACAACTAACAACAACAATAACAACATTGAAAACAACGAAATAACAACAGCAGCAACAGCAATAATTATCAGCTAACAAGTGTGATAATAACAACAGTTGAAACAGCAGAAACCATTACGACAGACTTAACAACATCAACGGTAACAACAACAACAACAACTATCTACAATGTACATGTAGGCCTAGACCAGTTCCATGGACCGTATAGCGGCTGCCAGAGGTGCCAATGTATGCTTTCGGTTCGACCTTGTTGAGCTGCGTCGTTGCTGTACTTTGCGACGGCGATTAGCCGCGACAATTATTATTATTATTATTATTATTATTATTATTATTATTATTATTATTATTATTATTAGATACGGAAACATGTTTTACTGGTTTAACAGACATCAAATTATGTAAATATTATAGCATTTTGTAAAGCTTAGCTCTAGTTTTTGTCACAATAAACACTCCTTTTTAAAAAAAAAATATTATTATTATTATTATTATTATTATTATTATTATTATTATTATTATTATGTAGGCTTCTGACCAGAATTGCACCTTTCGAACCCTTTTCTCGTTTTCACCAATCCCTACTTAGACATTTTCTCCAAAAATCGTGTTAAACTGACGACTGCTTCAACGCCAGGTGAAGTGAGTTTCTCTCCAATGCTGAGGTCTATTTTAATGGTTTATTTGCGTAGACCCGCAAGCAACATTGTATAGTGATGTTATTTTATTAATGTCTAGGCGATGGTCGAGACAGGCGAGAGGATATGTGAAGTACCATGCAATGCTCCAACCTTTACAGTAGCCTGGCATCCACAGAAACCTCTCTTGGCTTTCGCGTGTGACGATAAGGTAAACACTGAGGCAATCTGTTAGAAAGAAGACGTGATTTTTATGCCATTGGGGCTGTTTTCTTTGGTTTTGCGTTAAGGCAGTTTTCAAATTACTGTTGTACATGTAAAAGCCATTATACCAAAGTAATCACACATCACCAAAGATACAGCTAATCGGTTACTTTAGTGGACAAGTCAAGACTTGAAGTAGATACACATAGCTGACGCAAAGCGCGGGAAAACCAGTGAGCCACAGTTGGTTTTGGTTTTACTTCTCACAGAACGTAGTATAGTTATCTTTTTCGAAACTTGTCCAGACACAGCCGGGTGACGATAAATAATGAAAGTTCTGAACTCCGGGATGTTATTATTGAAAATGCCGATGTAAACTACGTACCTTTTTCCGTGAAACTAAAGTTATTCTTTAGTTTTGGATTAAAAAATGCCTAAAGATGCAGGCTTTTGACGGCTCACCTTTGTAGTGTCAACTTAAAAAAGTAACTGAAACTACTCGCCCTTGTTTTGTATGCCTGACTATAATAACTTGAAGCATTGAAATCGACTTCTGTGTCTCATTTTACTATTCAGTCATAGAAAACACGGGCGAGTTGTCTCTTTGTTAATCAGTTACTACACAGCAAAATGCGATCCAAAGTGCGATCGTGTGGAGGCGCGGAGGCCTCATGGTTAGTGCGCTCGTCCCTGGATCGAGCGTCCGGGCTCGAACCATGGCCGGGGACACTGTGTTGTGTTCTTGGGCAAGACACTTAACTCTCACAGTGCCTCTCTCTACCCAGGAGTATAAATGGGTACCGGTGACTTGTTGGGAAAACCTAACAAATTGCGAGGGAGTGACCTGCGATGGAATAGCATCCCATCCAGGGGGAGTAGAAATACTCCTAGCCACTTCATGCTACAGAAACCGGAGTAAGCGCCGGCAGCTATGAGCCAGTCGGCTCCAAGGCTTCACTTTTTTTTTTTTAATGTGATCCAAGTTGTTATTTGTTTTTCAGGATAAACACGATCGTGATGCCGGCACTGTCCGTCTGTTTGGACTGCCAACCAACTCTTCATAACCCTGGATAGCACTGAATTATCACAGTCGGAGACCGTGGTTGTTGTGGAACATACTTTGCAAACGCACTACCGCGTTCAAGACACTCTTAAACTGTTCATTGATGTTATGTTTTGGTCCATTTCTTCTGCGAGAATTAAGATCGCGTTGTGTTAAAATATCTGTACATTTTTAGTCTGGTTTAATGCAATTTTACTGTGAATGAAATGAGGAAAAGAATTTTGAGGATTCTTGTAAGCCTGGATTGAGTGCCTGGAAAATTGGACATCTCGTAACAGACTATTAGGTAAAAAGAGCTTGGTTTATATACCCCAACACTTTTCGTGGACCAGTGCGAATACTGCACAAGGAAATTCGCTTACAGCTATAAGCTTCTTCAGCTTTCATGTGTCGTGGTAGTCGTATGAATGCGGGTGCAATAAAGAATTTGCACTACGAGTGATATGTGAGAATATTTTTCAAAATTGCACGAGCCTTGAGGTTGGTGCAGTTTGGAACAATTCTGAACTAGCACGAGTAGTGTTTCATTATATGAACAAAAACGCCGCCTTGCAGTCCCTCGTCCACCGACCACCCTCCCGTACCCTCACTGCCCTCGCAAATTCGACGCAAGGATTGGGGCTAAGCCACCTCCGAGGCCATCAATGAAGAGGAGACCGTACTGTTAGAAGAAATTGATGCTCGGACACGAGCCAACGCCGACGACGATATGACTAAGGAAATTGTCAAACGCGCGCATCAATTTGCACTGCAGTACAAATTAAAAATTAACGATAAATTGGCCTGCTCTCAGCCAATCACAATGAAGTTTTTTTTCTCAGTCCTATAATAGCTGAAGTTACAGAGCCTCAAAGGGTTTGTGGAGCTCTCTGACTGGTTAAAACTCGCTATAAACTTCTTTTGACTGCATCGTCAGATCAAACCTTTTGAATGATACCAAAAATCACGCTTAGTGAGTCTATTATGAATTGAAGAGAGTTTTTCGTCCTATTAATTAATTTTCCCGTCGATTTGGACGGAAAATTAGACGGATAAATTTGAGACAGAAAAATCGTCACTAATTTGAATTCGGCAATTGCATTATTTCATTTGTTGTAATCGAGTCAGGGGTCCGTTTCTCGAAAGCCCCGGAAACTTTTCGGGCCCATAAAGCCATTTTTAGTC